TAATGATTAAGGCCCCTATATTACTTACCTTGATCCCACCTGTCGAGGTCCCTGCTGAGTTAAATCTGATAATCTGCCTGTACTTCTCCACTCTTGGGATTCCCTGTAGGAGCATTTCAGTCCTCTGAAACAGAGTTTTTAGGGTTTAGGGTTCAGGCCTTAGGGCTTTGAGCTTTAGGGCTTACCGTAACACCAAATAACCTAGACATATATGAGGAGATCATAGAAAGGAGCCCTGGAAAGGTAGGTTCTTCTGGGTGCAGAGATTGTTTGTGCTTACTTCGAGGTACAGGGCTTCGGATTTAGGTTTGTGGTTTAGGGTTTAGGGTTTAGGGTTTAGGATTTTAGGGTTTAGGGTTTAGGGTTTAGGGTTTAGGGTTTAGGGTTTAGGGTTTTGGGCGGTCGTCGCAACAACACCTCCCCGAATCCACACCACAATAACCTCCGGCGCCCTGCGGAATTTCAGTAGCTGCGAGCACCTGTTACCGTTGTGCAAGTATGTGCTTAGTTTCGGACCGCATCGAAGCCCCTGTCGACTCTGAACACCATGTGGGTGGTTATCAGAATTATGGTCCCTCTTTGGGTCCTTATTATAATACGGCACCTATTATTTAGGGTACCCCAAAAGGGACCACAAGTTTGACAACTACCCATGTCAGTCAGGATCAGTTTGGACTTCGGGCTGACCGTCTTGAGTTCCGAAAGCTCGGAGAAGACAAGACCTACTCAACTTCAGTTTCCCTTAGACCCTAAACCCTGAACCCTAAACCCTAAATCCTGAACCCTCAACCCCTAAACCCGAAACCCTGAACCCTAAACCCCGAAACCCCGAAACCCAAAAAACCCTGAACCCTGAACCCTAAACCCTGAACCCTAAACCCTAAACCCTAAACCCGAAACCCTGAACCCTCAAGCCGAAATACCACACCCCCCAAAGTCAACTCCGCGGGACCTTGCCGTCGCTAGGCTCGCGGCGCTGCGAAGGCCGAGACAACTATGGGTTTCGGGTGGTGCTTAGGGTTTAGGGCTTCGGGTTTAGGGTTTAGGGCTTTGGGTTTAGGTCAGGGCTTAGGGTTTAGGGTTTCGGGTAGGGCTTAGGGTTTAGGGTTTAGGGCTTTAGGTTTAGGTCAGGGCTTAGAGTTTAGGGTTTCGGGCAGGGCTTAGTGTTTAGGGCTTAGGATTTAGGGTAGGGCTTAGGGTATGGCTTAGGGCTTAGGGTTGAGGGTAGGGCTCAGGGTGTGCGGTTTGGATTTACTGGGGCCTTTGACTATGAGTATAGTATATGATATACCCCGAAGGCTTTTGAATGGCCTCTATATATCGAGCTATCATCTTTGCTCTTCTGAGTATTTTGTTTCTGCGTGTCAGGGTTAGGTAGTGTTCAAGAGGTTTCTTAACCTAGTGCCTGTTCTATGGTGGATCCATGGGGGCTCTCGCCATTGCTCGTAGCCCCTAAACCCTACACCCTAAACCCCCTCCATAGTGGCAGTAGATTTGTAAATGGTGCCAAGGAGGCTGAGGATCGGCTTCTGGTACGTGAGTTGCTTGAACGAAAAATCGCTTGTAAGATGTTATGGGACTGCTACTGGACCCTAAACCCTAAACCCTGAACTCTAAACCCTAAACCCCTAAACCCTAAACCATCAACCTTAAACCCTAAACCCTAATCTTCCCTAACCCCTAAACCCTAAACCCTAAACCCTACGTCTTACGACTCTTGCTCTCATCATTGCTGCAGTTCTCTCTTGTACTACTCGAGTCGAAGCTGCTGGAGCTCTGAACTTTTTGCTGACCCCGCAGAATCCATGCTCAGGAGGGAAGGAGACGGTTTCGGGTTTAGGGTTTTAGGGTTTAGGGTTTTAGTGGTTTAGGGTTTAGGGGTTTAGGGTTTTGGGGTTTAGGGGTTTAGGGTTTGGGGTTTAGGGTTTAGGGTTTAGGGTTTAGGGTTTAGGGTTTAGGGCTTAGTCTGTGTTGCAAGGACGTCGGAACCTAAAGCTCGGATTTAGAAGGAGTGCTCATGCATCGGATTTGGATCTTGTGCGTTCAAATGCCTTCGGTTTTGGCTTGTTCAGGTTTTGGGGTTTAGGGTTTAGGGTTTCGGATCTGCTTCTAGGCCTCTAGGCACGTAAGGGCTTGAAGTTTCGCTTCGCTGGTCGTAGGAGCGTTTTGCTTGGTTCGTTTCCTGCCTTTGCGGCGCAGGGCGCTGGAAACGTCTCCAACCCGGCAGTGGGGGGGAGAGCATGTTGGCGTGCTCACAGCGATTGTTCATGCCACAGCAGCTGGGTTTAGGGGTTAGGGTTTGGGGTCGTGTCTGGACACGGTACTTGCCACAAGAGATCTCGAGGTGTTAGGATTTAGTGTCCCGGGCTTGAGGGTCAGTGGCTGCAGACAGGCAGCGCGCATGTCGAGGGCATTAGCTTGCACAATGGTGGTGTTAAGGATTTTGTTGTTCATAGCCCATGTTGAATCAGCTGGTGGGGTGATGTTACCAGCTGTCTCACATTCCGCAAGCCGCAAGGGGCAACAAGCAGCTTCAACAATCACCGCAGACTTCTCTTGTGGCTTTGATTGATGCTTTACCTCTGCAGTCGGAAGAACAAGACATATGCATGCATGTTCATATGTCTACGCTCGTGACAGCTGGCTAGAATCAGAAAGATACAAGAGCAGCAGCTTTGACACAACGGCCTTCTCCGAAGCCGGCACCCAACACTCCACACCCCTACATAGCCCGAAACCCGAAGCCCTCAACCCCGAAGCCCCAAAGCCCAAAACCCTAAGCCCTAAGGCTACACAGCAAGACTTAAGCGCCCTAACCCCAAAACCCTACAACGGACGCCCTCTAGTTACAAGAGGCCCGTCACCTTATCGGCGAACTGAAGCACCCTAAACCCTAAACCCTAAACCCTAAACCCTAAACCCTAAGCCCTAAAGCCACCAGACTCCCCTAAGCCCCCTCTACGCCCGCCCAAACCCGAAGGGTTCTGATGCCGGCAACCTATACCGTAAGATCATACAAATTTAGTAGACTATACAAGGTAAGATAAGAAAGCCCTAAACGCCCTAAACCCGAAGCCCCATGATTCAAGCACCCCAACCCCAAACCCTAAACTCTGAACCCTAAACCCTAAACCCTAAACCCAAAGCGCTGCTGACGAGTGCTTGCCGGTTCATGGCTCTCGGCTGGGTCGTGGCAGCTTCGGTTCTGTCGTCTCTGGGGGCGTTCCTCTTTGGCCTGGATATCGGCCCCCCGGTGAATTGGTTTAGGGCTTTGGGGCTTCAGGGTCTTGAGGATGAGGGTGCTTAGGGTTGAAAATTCCGGGTTTCGGACGTCCACAGCTGAGGCGAAGTCTACGACAGGGGGTAGACTTCGCGTTAAGTCCTAGGCCCCAGACGCCCCTACCCCCAACCAAGGTCGAGCCGCATGTCAAGAAAGGTCCCCTCCAACAACATGTCTTGCAAGGGTTCAGGGTTTGAGGTTAGGGGAGGGGGGCTCATACAGAGATTAGAACTCTCTTGACCTAAATGACGATCTATAAATGGCTTCTCGGATCTGGCTGTGGCACCAGACGATCTAGCTGCAGGGCTTTGTAGCATGATGCTTCAGTGTGGCAAGAACTACCTGTTGTTGATGAGATATAAGTCTTGCATTACCTTAAGGACCCGAAACGATGGGAATTATGGTATATTCCTTACTATGGGTAATGCAGGGTTTATATCATCAACCGTATCATGTCATAAGCTTGGGGTCAGCGTTTACACATGACTGAGGCTATATCGCGCCCATCCTCGAGTGTGGCCGGGCAGCATGGTGTTCAGGGTTTCTGCCACAGGCCTCGATCTCCATGTTGCTGGGATGAGTGCCGAGTGTGTTGGGCTCAACTCCGAACGTCACGGTTTATTTCTTTTGAACCCGAAGCCACCCGTTCGGGTTTACACGTACCGCTGCTGGGTGTGACCGTCTTGTTGGTGTTCTTGCTCTTGGTCGTTGGTCGCCAGTTTAGTAAGGCGTCAAAGATCAAAGCTTGCCTTCATCTTTGTGAAGCATCCCGGCCCGCAGCTGCCTCAAGTCCCGAACAGGCAAGACTGTCATGGACACTCTTCCCAGTGACTGCGCGATTCGTATCAGATTCTTCCGGATTTCTCATGGATACTTAATAGTAATACGTACTAGTTGTTATAGTAATAGGAACAGTATCAGCATAGCAATAGTAATAGTCACAGTAATAAAAATGGTAACAGTGATCGCAATCGTATTTGGGCATTGCTTGGCCATTGAATCCGAACGCCCGCTCGAATCTGAAGCGCCACGTGCTTAACACCTTTCTCTGATAGCCCTACCAGGCCCCATGGTATGTTTTCGGTTGTAGGGTTTCGGGCCCATAGTAGCCCCAGACGACGCCAGCTAAGCTTGCTCAACCCTAAACCCTAAACCCTTTACACAGGCGGCCTCACTTCGCCGCAACTGACCTCTCACGAAGCTTTTCTCCGCTCAATCGTCCGAGTTCCAGAAGTCTCCTACTTTCATGCCAAGCCATGTTCCTGGCTTCGAACTCCTGTGTGACAAATCCTTTCAAAAAGTAAGAGGAGCTCCCGAGGAGTGCCCTAACTATAGAAAAGAACCCTGAAATCATCCACGCCTTAAAGATACCCAGATCCCGAGACCCTTAACCCCTAGCCCGAAAGGCTCGACGTCCCTAAACCCTGAACCCTAAACCCTAGACCCTCAACCCTTAAACCCTTAAACCCCTAAACCCTACACCCTTAAACCCCTAAACCCCGAACTCATCCTAAACTCTGGAAAGTCGGAAGGTGAATCCTTCAAGCACGATGTGGCGAAGTTGGAGAACTGGTGGGATCCACAGGCCTCGTTTAGGGTAGGTTTAGGGTTTAGGGTTTACGGTTCAGGGTTTAGGGTTTAGGGTTTAGGGTTTTCTCTGTAGGGTTTTGAGGGTTTAGGGTAGGAGAAGCAATTGAGCGACGGCCCTAACCATGACGAGTGCAACAAGAAGCTCACAAGCTTAGGAAGCACTGTATTCACAGTCAGTCTTTCTCTTCGACGGCGATGAGAACAAGGAATCACCATTATCATCCTGGTCATTATGATGAAGATGGTGATGCTGACGGTGCAATGAACGGTCGTGCTGATGATGACCATGATGCCCATCATGATTGGTACCTTATGTGCCGTATCTCAGCCTGGGGACCGTCGTGCAAGACAGTGGCATCTGACAGACGGCTGAAGACCTGCCCAGATAATCAAACCCACTCCTTTTGTGCAGATGTTTGTGGAGGTTTTGCGATTCCGAGGAGCGGAAAAGCCGCGGTCGGGGGCAACCGCATTTCCGTTGACCAAAGTGTTGTGTTGTGAGGCTATGAGCACAACAAGTCTTGTCATAAAATGAGGACGGCCATCTCATGCATGTGGCGATGCAGCAATATCCGAAAATATCCTGCGCGGATGCGGCCTTTCAGGCTTCGGAGAGCGGCCAAAAGAAGATTCCCGGTTGGTTTGTATCATACAGTTGTGGTATGGTGATGAACTAGGTTAGCTTGCCGCAGCCGACTCTCTTTCACTTTTAACACTATGTTATTAGGTTGCATTATGCTATGTTATGTTGTGTTATGTGATGTGATGTTATGTTGTGTTGTGTTATGTTGTGCTGTGTTATGTTATGTTATGTTATGTTATGTTATGTTATGTTATGTTATGCTATGTTACGCTATGTTATGCTATGTTATACTATGCTATGTTATGTTATGTTATGTTGTGTTATGTTATGTTATGTTATGTTATGTTATGTTATGTTATGCTATGCTATGCTATGTTATGTTATGTATATTCTCATACTATGCATGATCTGCCCACAGAAAGAAGCCATTCTGTACCCTTCTCATGGCCGATGCATCCGGCAGGCGAAGATCCACAGCGAGACTGCCGGGTTCATCGTTGGAGTCTTCTCCATCGGATGCATTTGCGTGGCTGAGTTCGGCACGGTTTAGGGTTTAGAGTTTAGGGTTTAGGGTTTAGGGTTTAGGGTTTAGGGTTTAGGGTTTAGGGTTTGATTTGGAATCTCAAGCCATAGAGTCATACCCTACCCCTCTCTGCCCCACGTCATACTCACCGAAACGCGACGTCCAGAACAGGTATTGCAAGCCGAAACACAGGTATCCTTCCCGCCAGTCAGCAGCTACTTCCTCGACGTTTGGGGGCGGACGCCTATCCGCATGCAGGCTGTGTGTTATCAATCCACATATTCACATTGAGTACAGTTCAGAGTCAGTTTAGAATTTTTTGGGGCTAAGGGTTTCGTCCACACATGTCCTTCTCCTGGTTACTTTTGTTGCCTCTTCTTCTGAGCGTTCGGAGCGCCAAACCCCTGGAAAAGCTTGACAGAAGAGTGACATCTGGTCCACAAAGAGCAGCCCTGCACGTGCGCTCATATTGCAGACCTATCCGATCTTTGAAGAAATATCTGTCATGGAAAGTTGTGTATCACAGAGCCGTAACAAGACTAGCACTCCAATCTGCGATTTATTGATCACCGGCGCAGATCTGCCGTGAAGCCCCGAACCTCAAAACGAAGCCTCCTCCATTGCTGGTGTTGACGGGCCTAGTGAGGGCCTTTGTGCCAAGCCTTTCGCTTCCAAGCCACATACCCTAAACCCGTAACCCCTAAACCCCTAAGCCCTAAACCCTAATTCTGGACCCTAAAGCGCTCACCCGTAGACGCGGTATCTCTAAACCGTAAACCCTTGATCTCTAGACACTATAGTAAACCCCCAGAAGTTGGAAACCGGATACTGTTTACGGTTTACGGGTTTAGGGTTTCAGGGTTTGAGCGTTTAGGGGATTAAGGACAATTAGTGCTGGGCTTCCCTATACATTACTCTTCGGAGATTCAGGCTATTGGGTTTCCAACTTTTGGGCTTCTGCTGTAGACATTTCCGGATCCCGTGACCCTCGAACCCTAAACCCTAAGCCCTAAACCCTAAGCCTTAAACCCTAAGACCTAATTCCTAAGCCCTAAACCCTAAACCCTAAGCCCTAAGACCAAGACCTAAATCTCTGAGATCCCGGAGGAAGGGCTCCATCATCCTCGGGAGCTTCATTTTTTTGGCGGGCTCCTGGGTGCAGGTGGGTGGCCACCTCAGGTGATGACCTCTTTCTGGAGGGCTTTATGGGAATAGTTAGGGTGTTTGGGGGCTTTCAGGTTTAGGTTTTTTTTTTTGTTGTGTTTGGGGCTTTCGGGTTTAGGGTGTAGTTTTGTTTTTTGTGTTTGGGGCTTTCAGGTTTAGGGTTTAGGCTTATTACAGAGAGCTGCATCCTGTTTCAGGGACAGTCATGCGGCTTTCAGCGCTCCACAGAGGAGCCCCCGCTCACTAGGGTTTAGGGTTTGGGGTTTGGGGTTTAGGGTTTACTTCATATTTAATCAAAAACCCTAAACCCTAAACCCTAAACCCTAAACCCTAAACCCTAAACCCTAAACCCTAAACCCTAAGCCTAAACCCAAAGCCCAAAGCCTTTCAGCCCTAAACCCCCCAACCCCTAAGCCCGTAGTTCCGTCTCGGGACATCAAAAAGCCTCCCTGACCTTTGCACATGAACCCTAAAGCCAAGAAGCTTTATTAATGTAGACTCCTGAGGAATTGAGAGTGCGATTCCTTCGGGCTCCTGGTTCTGGCTTCGGTCAAGCATACCACAAAAGCTTCATGTCTAATTATTTGGGCCCCTACAGCACCTGCAAGATACACCTTCAGCTGGCGAAGCCTGAACACTGCAAACCCAAAGCCACACAGAACCCAGAGAGCCCAATACCCCTTCATCAGAGAATATACCTTCAATCATAATATTAAGGAGGAGACCCCTATAGTTTAAGGTGCATTCCTTAATTAAGGGGTATTGGGCTCTCTGGGAATCCCCAAAACCTTAAGCCCTAAACCCTAAACCCTATAAACCCCTAAACCCTAAACCCTAAGCCCTAAGCCCTAAACCCTATATCCCCTAAGCCCTAAACCCCAAACCTTAAACCTCAAACCCTAAACCCTAAACACCCTTAGCGCATAGGTTTTGAGGTTTTTGGGGTCTCCGGGTCCGCAACTCGCAGGTCAACTCCAGCTCTGCTGCGGACCCTGCCTTAAGGGTTTAGGGCTTAGGGTTTAGGGCTTTAGGGGTTTAGGGTCTTTAGGG